GGTTCAGGGCCGAGTTTACCTCCCCGAAGGAGACTCCGCCATTCGGCGTAGCATCCTTCGGGTAATACTACTACTCATCGATATTGAATCACCCCCCACGAGGGTATCATGTGGCACAAGGCCTTTTTAACGTGGGCATTTCGAGCCATTAGGCTCAATAAAAAAAATAGCCCGTATAAAACGGGTTCAGGGCCGGTTTACCTCCCCGAAGGAGACTCCGCCATTCGGCGTAGCATCCTTCGGGTAATACTACTACTCATCGATATTGAGTCACCCCCCACGAGGGTGTCATGTGGCACAAGGCCTTTTTAACGTGGGCATTTCCGAGCCATTAGGCTCGGCCAAAAAATAGCCCGTATAAACGGGTTCAGGGCCGGTTTTACCTCCCCGAAGGAGACTCCGCCATTCGGCGTAGCCTCCTTCGGGTAATACTACTACTCATCTGACTTGACAGCGGAAGTATACAGCTTTTATAGCTTGGATTATCTAAGAGGAGATAATCCATATTCACAACATATTCTATTTTCTCTTTCCATTCTTTATAAATAAATGCCATATGTAACATTAAAAGAAAATAGCAAAAATAAATTTTATTATATTTACAGGCTGCTAACTGTGAATAAACAGGTATGGCGGCGCCTTACAGTAGCCATTGCTTTGATTTCCGTGGTGTCATTAACCCACAGTCCTTCTCAAAAATAAGCATTTTATTAATTTTATTTAATAATAATCGCAAAGCAAAAGTTTAGTGTTGCTTGCAATTAGGATATACGAAAAGTGGGGCGTAAACTGTTCCTTTAAGTGACAAGGTGAAAATTCTAGGCATAATAAGGAAAGAAAAAAATGGTATGCTGTAAGATTTACGGTAAGAACGAATTTTCTGTTGGTCACGTAACATTTATTACACTCATCATCATCATCATCATCATCATCATCAGAGCGTATCGATTACATAGATCCTCGCGACTCTTTTCTAGCAAGCAAAATTATGCATCGCATCAATTGGCATCCTGTATATTTACATACTTGTTGAATGTATGGTTTTGAATGAGTGACTCAATTTGACTACTAGAGTTATTGTTACTAATAATTGTGTCAAATTTATGAATTAATATTTTTTCCTGTAAGTGCTGAAAAATTCTCGAGGTGATCCATTCCCCAATATCCAAATAAATGGCCAAATATCAGATATCTTTAAACTTGTTTTGTTCAAGCTAAGAACATTTTAGCAGTCTTTCATATTTATAGGTAATGTAAAAGGTTTTCGTATTACCGTGGTTTGAGTCATACATTATGGGCGGGGCCCACATTCGATAAAGGAGACTGCTGTTCCCTAATCTATCGTTTATCTTTCTATTCGTTATCTATTAGTTATTATATTAGCTATATTCCTAGTACATTCTCTACGAATATACAATAAAACTCGGTCTAAAATTCCTGGAAACTTTTGCATACATCTAATATATTTGAAGTTTTGGTGCAAGACGACATTCTGCCGCCATTATTTTCTTTTAGCTTCTTTGAAAGCAAAATCATGCATTTTTAAGACTTGATGATATTAACCAAATGAAATATTTATCAAATTTTCAACAAAATACTTACTTATTTTAAGTTACTAAATTTATTGTCCCAGAGTTACTACCCCAAATTGTGGATATGACTATTAGTGTTTCCGATAGAATTGGTCTTCATGCTAACATTTTCGACCTCTTCCTCACTTTCTGCCCTGAAAAAAAATTTGCTGAAGTATTTGCCATATCAGACGACTTATTGATCAAGGCATCCTCAAATGTGTGGTTTCATAGGACAATCTACCAATACAACTGGAACAGCTTCAGATCTTACATTGCAGAAGAACCTTGCTTAGCTCCCTTCAAAAACAGAGCTTCCTTAATAGCCAACATAGAGTTTTTTTATATAAAAATAACTACCAACACAAGCCGAATAGTCAGCCTTGGCTACACCTGAATATGTTCTGGCCATAGCACACCGTAACCACTATTACAATCTCTATCAGAGGGAACGGTGTAACAAAATTCTTACATCATTCAGAACTGCAGACAGTGCAAGAAAGTCCTGATCAATTCAAAGGGCAACTATGCGCAAACAGTTCAAGCCAAAGTTAAAAAAAAACAAAAAAAACTTAGATCCAACGTGTTCTAGAAAATCTCAAACACAATTCTCGACAGAGTCAATCCGCCAGTTCCTTCCATTATAAATGGCCCGGACTTTATCTTATCCACATCTGATAAGGCTAAGCTCTTCGCAATGGACTTTGTCAGTAATTCTACTTTAGACGACAAGAGCCATTTTTATCTGACTTCCCTTACTTTACGGAACACAAGATTTCTTATATTTCGGCTCAGAAACATTCCAGACTTATCAAAAACCTCTACGAAGTCTACTGGTCCGGATAAAATCCCTGTTTGTTGTTCTTAAGAACCTTAGCTCAGAGATATCTCCAGTCTTGGCAAAGCCGTTTTACCACTGAAGGCGAAATGTTTCCCAAGCCCGTGGAAGGTGTCAACTATATGTTCTATTTACAAAAATTACACCCCATCAGTCTCAGCAAAGATTTTGAAGCAATTATCAACAAGAAAGTTGTTGATCATCTAATCAGAAACAACTCTCTGGGAGATAAACAGTATGGTTTCGCTCCTCTAAGTCCACTGTTGATGTCTTAACTACCATCACCCAGATAATCAGTGAAACGCTTGAAATAAACACACCACGAGAAAAATTGCCTTAGATATCTCAAAGGCTTTTGGCAAAGTGTGGCATACATAATCTCTCCAGCTAGGGAATCTCTAGAAGAGTCTTCCAACGTTATCAATTCTTTTCTATAAGGTAGGTCAAAGAAGCTCATTGTTAATGGACAGTCCTATGAAACATTTGAGGACCTTTATATTAATGATTTACACGAGAACATTCTCAGGTCTTTAGTAAATATATAAGCAGATGATATCACGGTGTATGGATGTACCTTCAAAAATATGGATAACAAGAGCTTAGTAGTAGCAGATTCTTCCGAGTTCTCACAGTTCAATGGGGAAATGCAGGCTTCTATCATCCAATACCTCGAAAACAAAGCCAGTGACGTGTCATCACCACCAAGCAGACCTTAAATTTTCTCCTGTCCTGATGAGCGGACGTACTCTTATGAAACTCGTATATTCGACCCATTGCTACAAAGGTAGGAAGAATGTTTGGTTCTATGCGTCTCTCTAAAAATACTACTCCTACTGCCATGCCTTATCTTTACAAGTCATATCAGACCAAGAATGAAATATTGCTGTCATATCTGGCCTGCTGCTTCACTGTCTAACCATAGCAGTTTGGAAGCAATTGCACGACGTGTGGGTGATCATTTTCTATCCTGCAACCTCTTCCGACAAACGAAACATTCAATCAAGCTACATTTCTTAGTTTCACCAGCTCAGACCATCACAGCCTAGGTCCTGCCATGCTACGTTACAAGGTGTTAAATAAACTTCATTCCTTTCGTATTCCTTTGGTAAGGTGAAAATTCCACTCACTGTTTCTTCCCCAAAATTGTCACTCTGAGGAACAGACTCCCGAGAGTATGCTTCCTCGACTACAACAATCTTAAATACTTCAAGGTTTCTTGGGCCTTGTATCAGAGCAACAATAGTAAAATGCACCGGCATAAAGATCTGCAAGCGATATATCTGAAATATTTACATTTATTATTCAAGTGGAAAAGAAAAGTAACTTTGACCTTTTCACTTTATTTGTATTCAGTATGAAGTAATGCATTCATCGACTGAATGAAACTGAAATTGAATGGGAAAAGATTCTGAGGATTTTTTTTAAAAAATCTCCTGACGCGTTATTTGGAGATGCGAAAAGATATCGACACGGAAAGTGAAACCGGCCTGTTCACTTCCCGGTCAATTCTATCTTCGTTTAAATAGCAGCACAAACTTGACTCTCTGGCCTTGGGGTGGCAACCAGTCTAGGAGAATGTGAAACCCATCTGAATAGGGATGGGCTACGCCAGGATATCTTAACCTAAACACACAACTACTTCTATGAGTTAAAGAACGTTGTTTTTTCTCTTTTAAGATATAAAAAAAAAACAGGCCAAAGCAGAAAAGCATCACTTTAGTGAGACTACGAGCATTTCAAGGCGCCTTTTTTATTCCCTTCAATATTTATGCGAATAATCATCGCTGTCAATAATCTGTTTCGTACATGTATGTGTGTTTATATATATATATGTGTGTACGTGCCTGTTGCGAGAGAAACAGAGGTAACGTATATAGTTCATTACATAGAATAATAGATCGATAGATTTACTTGAATGTTTGGTGCATAAAGGAAGATTTTATTGAATGATGCCCAAGCGTAACCTATTATTTTCAAAATATTGACAAATACATCGTTTATATAGAACGTTACTTTCATCCTTCAAGGTGCTGAACTCTGTTCATAAGCACCTACGTATGACTGCCCGCCCTTTTTCTGTCTTTAGTTTCTTTCACAGTTTTAGTTATTGTTGGCGTTCGTGTTCTTTTTATCGCTGTTTCTCGCGTCTGTGTCCCAATAGCTTATTTTGTCTTCTATTTCATCCAATCACCGATTCGATTCTCTCTTTAATCGACAACCTACAGGCAAACGCCAGCAAAGCCAGCCGACAGCCTCGCTGCTGACTGCAAACAGCTATATACAATCGCTGTTGTTTCGCAAACAACATGGCCACCATCATTAAGCGGTGGTCATCGTCATCACTAATGAGGGTGAAGGCACTGATGCGAGTGGGTATGGCGTCTGATGATCAAAGGATCTCACCTCTCTAATCGCCCCTAAAACACTGGCAAGAGATCGGCCCATAATGATGTTATAACCAGGAGGTGTCCTGTGTCTACTGCTTCAGCCCATCACCAACCCGTAGCTAATGGTACATGACCATTCTCATTTCTCCGTGATGACCCTCACATCACCATTTTTCCCCTGCCTTCCCCTTTTGACTTACAAAGCGTTGCTTCTGGCCCGGTTGCAAACAGTGGATCGACACAGCCAAAAACCGAAGAGAAAATTACAGCCCCTCCAGGCTTGGCGTTCTTTTGGCGTCAATTAGGAGATGAAAACCCCACCCAATTTCTTCCTCTAACTTTCTCTCTCTCTCTCTCTTTCTCTCTCTCTCTCTCTCTCTCTTTGACATACTTTACCTTCTCTCTCTTGCACAATGAAGCTCTTTGTAACAATGTCACCCATAATCTATCTGTTTCTTATTTCTCTGTATCTTTATTTCCGTCTCTTTTTCTTTCATCTGACTTTCTTGTTTAGCTCTATGTTTCTTTCACTCCTAATTTTTTCCATAACTTTCCTCTCACTTTTATCTTTCCTTCTATATTTTTCTCCTCTTAATTCCTTTTTTTCGACAATTTTTTTACACCAGTCCCTCATTCTTTAATATTATTTATCAATCACCGTTTTTTCAGATTTCTTTCATACATTCTCTCTCATTCTATCATATTTATTCATTCGATTTCTTTCCATTTATTTCTTCTCTTCGAAAAAGATTACTTTCAACAAAATCTTGTTAATCAATATTTCCCTTTCATTATCCGAAGCTCATCTTTCTGCTAGTTTTTTTTTTTTTTTTTTTTTTTCGCTCTACCTTTTTTCATCGCAAAGATGATGTGCTCGTTGCCAATGCTACATTCTTTATCTCTTTCCTCTTTTCAGAATCTGTCCCTTGCAAGATTTTTTCTTTCTCGCCGGAAAATTGTCAACAAGATCGTCTTTTTCGCTGCTTCACAACAAACAACTTATACATACATACACACACACACACACATATATATATATATATATATATATATGTGTGTGTGTGTGTGTGTGTGTGTGTGTGTGTGTGTGTTAGATTCATCACGCAGATAAATAATTTGTTCAGGCTCGAAAATGACAAAAGGAAATCAATGTTCGCAATTATTAACGTTTATATATTTTCATATAATATATTTTCATATTATATGTTTTTACTGTTATTGATGTTTTTTTCTTATATAAGAAGAGACACATTTTTGTGATTAGCGCCCATAAAAGAGATATTGTCGCGTTTAGTATTACAGATTATTTTTGTAATTTTTCGTGTTTTTCTTTTTTGTTATTCATCCCGTCCTGTTTTGTTGCTTAAATCAGTTGTAATTTGTTTCTAACTGAAAAATTTACTTAACTGTATCCTTCAAATCCCACTTTATATGAAATGATGGCCTCTTTATGCATTTCTCAACTGTATTTTCCATTACAAACCTTTATTTACGATCACAGCCGACATTAGGATCTAAAATGGAAATTTTTGTTTATTCACAAGAATAAGGGAAGTGATTTTTTTCTGTTTAATGCAATATTTCAAATATGGAAGTTTAAAAAAGAAAATTTCTCAATATTTGAAATCCGAGGCTAAGTCCATTGATATGACTAATGAAGAAATAATACAATTGATAAACGCAAGAAAAAATCATTTCTTTAAACTGCTTCATATACAATTACGTTTTACATTTAAAAATCTCTTCATCATTTTCCTTCTGTGATCTTTTCTTCATTCTGCATATTTCATATATTTCTCTCTTCGCTGTTCTTTCACTCCTCAGAAATTTAAGCGTTTTACGGTCATGTTTTCTGTTTCTTTCTTTCTTTCTTTTTTACTTGTAACAAAAAAGACAATTATAAACAAAATGTTTTCCATTTCCCTTCTGACCATCATCTCCTATGGACGCTACAGCTCGACCTATCCCTCCTCAGCCTTATGCATTCCAAAGGCATACAAGTATTGGGCCGCCCGCTAAGCACCAAACACTCTTATAATTGAGTTATTTTACCAGGGTAACTCAATTGGATGCATGGAAACGGGCAGTTGAAGGGGTGGGTATGTGCCTAGGAGAAAGAGCGACAAAAATAATGCATTTTTCTCGACCTTCTTCTATGTTCTATGTCTATTCACGTCATGGGCGATTATGGCCCTCCACAACTTTGTAGCTCTAAGTAATGGTTGTCCCCATCTAATGGTTATATATATGCTCGTTAATTAGGTTAGTCACTGTTTCTCTCTATCCATATTACATTCATTATATCCTGTGAGTATCAGATTCTCTAAGCCTACTTTTCTCATTCTGTCCCAGAAACTTCCTCGTTGCTAACATTAGCTAATTTTGAAACATGAACATTCGTCGTTCTATCTATCTATCTATCTATCTATCTATCTATCTATCTATCTATCTATCTATCTATCTATCCAAAGATCGTATCGTTTTTCAATAAGAAGCAGTTAAACGCGTGGTTTTGTTCACAGGTGAATTAAATTTATGACATGGAGAGAAATTAAATGCATTTTCTTTATGTAATGCTCTTTTATTTACAGAAAGGAAAAACGCAGTATAAACGGCAGAAAAAGATGTGCCGTTAATGAACATATATGAGATGCTTGTTTGTAAGTGGTTTGCTTGATTCGGAAGCGGAAATTTTGATCTGTAAGGTCGAGAACATTCAGTGGTCCTGCAGTCGTTGATGATTAGCATATACAGAAGAGAATTTGAAATAATCTCCGTCATATGATACAGAATATCGCAGAGATACCCTACTTATCTCAAATAAAAGTTTTCTAATGCATTTTAAAACACTTGGATATGTGAATAGCTTCGATTTAACTGAATATACATACATATATACAGATTTTATTACGTTAAACGTTATTTTTAGTGGATACCCATATTTGTGTAAACGCTCCGTTTATTTTTTTAAACAGTATATTAATGTATTGTCGTCTACTCTGGTTTGAATATTTGAGAGTCGTCTACGTTTAAAGCACGTCGGATCTAACGACAGTTTATCCTGCAACGGGGATCACAGTTTCGAATCCTGCCAGAGGGTGCATCTTTTTCTTTAATAAGATCTCTCGAATTGAATAGTCCGGTAGAAAAAAATAAAAAAATATATATACTGTTTAAAAAATAAATGGATTGTCTACTCAAATATATAACCCATACTCAAATACATACTTCGATGATGAATAGAAATATCAATTGGAGAACATTGGGTAAGAACGTATAAGCACACAACCACAATTTACATCTGGTCATCTCGTGAAAAACTACTGAGAAAGATTTTCCTTTCTTTTAAAATGATAGTGTGCATTATCAACGTTTGTACTTTCGTTAGCGCAGTGATTCACAAGCTTGATGGGAATTTTTTTTAAATATGAAAATGCAAGGATCTTGAAATGAAAATCTCAAAAATGTGACACATGAGGACATCAATAATTTCAGTTGTAGTTGGAGCCTTCGAATTGATTGGAAAAAGGTCCGATAGATTAAATGAAGGGATTCCTTGTAGCCCGTGCCTTAAAGGCTACTTAAAGAAATACAAAAAAATTTACTCACAAGTACAATTCACAGATTACGAAGACTTTCTATGTAAAATGTGTGTGATCTTAGGTTGTTTTGTTTTGGGTTTTTTTATTTTATTTTATTTACAAAAATGATCAGTGGAAGATGGCATGAAGCCATTTTTGACTTTAGGTCTTTGGTTGGGACCCGGAAGGAAATGTGTATACGACAGAAACCCAAGGAAATAAACAACTCGTATTTTTAAATTTTATTCACTTAAAATATTTTAAAATTAGATTAACTTAAAAATATTCTTATAATATGCGAAAAATATTTTTAATTCATATTCACTTGAAAATATTTTTTAATAAATATGACAAAAAATATTTTTTTAATATACAAAATATTGTTCCTTTAAAGAAAGCTGAAATGTAAATAATCACAGAGAGGTGGAAACAAATTTAAATTATTATTCGCCCGACGGCCGACTTACACACGATTCACAGGCTTTTAGTGTGAGATAGATAGATAGATAGATAGATAGATAGATAGATAGATAGATAGATAGATAGATAGATAGATAGATAGATAGATAGATAGGAAGAGAAAGAAAGAGTAATGCAATATTAATAGTGATGGTAGCGATGGTTATAGTGATGATGGTGTTGGTGGTGGTGATTGTGGTGATAGTGACTTGTGGGATATTTTTTAAGTATTATTTTGTTATGTATTTATGTATTAGTAATTTATATATAATTTTTATTTTATAAGCCGTACAGTACAAACAAACATAAACTTTTCTTGAAATATTATTAATAACTATATATTAATTCTATTTATGGGTAAAATATATTCGTGTAATAACGGGATAAGGAGATTTGTATATACTTTCATATTATTTAACATAAAAGAGAAAAAGTCAAGAAAATTCCGATGAAAATTGAAGTTATGTCGGAGTCTGGTGAAGCACGGCGTGTCTCCTTGGGACCCAAATGCTTATAAATGAAGATTTTACCGTTGCTGTTGATAACAGCAATAGTAAAAAAAAAAAAAAAACATAGCAGAAGGAGGCCTGGGCTCCTGGACGTGATGGCCCATCATGGTATGGAGATGCTCTGGCGCCCACGAACCAGCCCCCACGTATGGGTAAACACGAACTAAACATAAGGCAACAACAACAAATAATAATATTGGTAAACCGCATCAGTCGTTATGCGGGTCAACATGGACCGCGATCCCCAGTGAGGAACTAAACTGGAATCGAAAAGCCTGCATGTGAAACAAACTCTACCCAACGGGAACTAGAGGAAAACCACACCGAGAACAGTCCTGAAGGTGACCCTCTATATTCATTAAAAGAAGATCCAACAAAAAGGACAAAAAATATATCGTCTAGGGAAGAGTATATTGAAGTAATGATAGCACTTTATACTGCTACGATAAATCCGACAACGACAACAATTTATCTGGAATTACCAAGTAAATATAATAAAGTATGGTATAAACCCTATATGTAGATTACATGAACAACTTGCTGAGATCAGCGACTGACTAGCCACTATTGACACGGATGGATTACAAAGATTAATATAACATTCATTGTGCGCTACATGGAAAATGGTATGAACATCACCTTGAAACAGCCCAGATGTCACAATTCTTTCGAATTTTACCATTCATACTGAAAGACATTGTGAATTAAGGCTACCAACAAAAATACCTCTTATAGATATGTCAGGGCTATGAGATAAAAAATATATCTGTTAAATAAATATGAGGATGTTGAATTTGAAATAAAAAAAAAGAATACTGTTATTCCTATAATAATTGGATCTCATTTAGGGAACAAGTTCATTTGGCGAACGTCTGAAGGAACTGGCTTACATGATTTGAAGGAATTTCTAAATCACCTGCTGGATTTTCTGCTGCTTTTATCAAAACCTGTCACCATATCACTTA